TGTTGTGATTCTTGATTAAGGGGGTGAGAGAGAATCTCCACTAGGTTACATGGGTTTCTTTCAATTCAGAAATATGCCACATAAAGTACATTATGGCCAGTGTTAAATTTTTATATAGAGCAAAAAACAGATAGGAAAGCAAAAATTTAAGAAGCAATAAGAGAGAAGGAAAATATTAAGGTCAACAGTCCAGGTGAGCAATAGATGCTCAGTAGATTTCTTTTTCTTCATTTTGTTAATTTTTCTCCTCAGACTGACACTCAAGCTTGTCTGCCTATAATGCGAGTAGCAGTTTGTGTGGGAGGTTGCAAGGTGCAATTTAAGAACATAGGGTCAAAGCTAGAAATGGAATTAATCGTTAATAACAGCACAAATGGGAGCCTGTGGTATAGTTTTAACTAGTGATTTTTTCATTAAAAAAATATGTAACAGAAAAGACATCTGTTAGCAATGCATTTCAAAAGAACACTTCTGCTGGGGGGGCAAAGGAGGTGGGCAGGCCCTCACTCACCCTGCTATCTCACTGGCATCCAATCTAGAGGAGCTTGCCAGAGTCAAAACTTAATGAAAATCAGCACTATGCTGTGTAATAATACAAGGGCTCCTGAGCACTCAATTGTCTGATCAGAGAAGTCTTTCAGAGATGCATGCCAGTGCCTTCAGTGATTCAAAATAAGAAATTAAAATCAACTTCAAGAAAATATATATGTTCCTTCAGGACCCCATACTCTGTACTCTGTTTACTAGGGTTTTTTTAATCTTTATAAAACATACCTTTGCTTTAAAGGGAAGCTAATAGAAAAGTGTGTGGAGGTAAAAATTCTTGTGAAAATCAGTGATCTGTGTTTATTCCAATCCATCTGTCTCTCCACATGGTACAAGTGATATGGTGTTACGGATAATAGAAGCATCCTAATTTTCATGCATATGGCATGAAGGTACAATTATTTCTGTTTTGAAAGATCACAGTACATTACAGGGTCCAGGGCTGGATATTGAATTTTATAATGTCCCTCTATTATTCATGTTGAGTAATTTTTTATCACTCTATTTCACTTTTCTGTAACATTAAAAAGTCTTAATAATTTTGCAGTTGATCGAGCCTGTTTTCTCTGATATCTCATGTTATGCTCTATATTTCTGGGGATTGGAAAAGGCAATGCATAGTAATATATGCAATTGTATAAGATATGACAGTGCTTTTTTTTTTACCTCTCATCTGAGCAAAAATTATAAACCATATTCTCATGTATGCTAAGATGCATTTGCACTGCACTATATTTCTGGTCACTTTGAGACACTGCCAGAGAAGCCTAAAGGAGAGTGAAGGTAAATGAGAGTAAGCCCCCCACATTTCCAAGAACTTATACCATGTCCACAGTCAGCCCCTGGAGCTGGATAGGCTGAGCTGCAATGTGAAACAGAATAACACTATCAGCTTGAAAATCAGTTTCAGCCTGGGCCCTTCCCTGACTCCCTCCCCTCACTTCAGTTAAAGTTCAACTATTTCATTTGTAAATGCAGCGGTCTGATACAATCAGGTGCAGAAAAGCTGCTATGCCATTAGCTCAATCAGGCAAACAGGCTGTGCCAACTCCATCATAAAATACCTGACCGAAATGTTAATTTCAGTGACACACCCCTCCCCCATCACTCCAGCAGCACTCCTTTATTGTGGGTGTAACTTACCATAGGGGTGGTAGGTAGCAATGGGACTTTAGGAAAACACTTCCTATTTAAAAAAAAATAATAAAAAAAATCTTGCATTTGTGGAGAAGTGGGAACCTCTTCAATTCTCTGACTTTTCTGAATTTTTACAGAACCCTGGGGATTTCTTCCACCACTAAGTCTCTCCTTTTTACCCTGAGACTTGTTCCTCACAGTTTGTACTGCCAGTTTTCTTTGCTTGTGTGTTCCATAGGGCATGTATTTTCTTCAGTAGGACTTACCCCTGTGCGGTAAGGGGAAAAGGATCATTATATAATGTATACATATGTCAGTGAGAAAAGTGAAGTTTAGTATTACATTTCCATCACCAAAATCCCATGTGCTGAATCCTGGATTGGAAGAAATCACCATTTCATAGCAACAATAATAATTTGTTTTTTGTATTGTGGTACTCTGGAGGAGGTATAATCATCGTCTGGGATAGCACTGTATCAGGTGCTGAGCAAACATACAACAGAAAGACTGCCTAGCCCCCAAAAGCTTACATAATACATATAAGGCAAGAGATAACAGGTAGGTACAGGAAAATTGATACAGAGCACCAAGAAGCAATGAGACCACTACTGGAGAGCACAATGGGCAGTGGTCACAGGACACCAATAGCCCCAGTGTTGTCAAAGTTTGGTACACTTCTTAGTAAAGAAATGTTTTAAGGAATTTGAACGTGAAGAAGTAGCTTTGCAGATGTGAGATCGGATGAGGAAAAAAATGCAAAGGTGCTTGTTTGAACATTTAACAAATGTGTGGGAATAGGCTATGGAAGGCTGTGAAAGGAATAGCAAGTCATTTATGTAAGCCATTTATGTATGGAGCAGTAGAGAGAGGCAACCAGGGAAGTGATACCAAAAGAGGAGCAAAAGTGATGAGCTAGGAAAATGATCTTTACAGTAGCATTCATGACATGGTGTAACGGAGAACCATCGGGGTGCTTTCCACTTAGTGAGGAGCCTGCATGGTAGGGATGTATGAAATGGGCCATATTTGATTTGGATTTGGCCCAAACCGGGGACAGTGATTGGATTAGTTGATTCACATCACTGTCTCTGATTCGATTTGGCCAAATCCATATCTGAAGATTTGATGCCGATTCAGAGAATCAGCAATTCAGACATGTACTGCTTTAAATGTTTTTTCTACATGCCTCAAGGTACCAGGCACAGCTCGTGAATGCTGCAATGCTGGGGAGGATGGAGCATCCTACAGGAGTGCAGGGGGACCACCCCCCCCCCCCCCCCCCCCCCCCTCCCGCCCACCCCCGCGCCGGGGCGCCAC